GGTCGCTTTCCTTCTTCGAGCTGCTCGCGGCCGCAGCGGCGCCGTCAAGGAGGACGAGTTCGGCCAGGAGGCGAAGCGGCAGCGCCGTGCGGCGGCTGCTGCGCCCGCGGGCCGTGGCCCCCGCCCCTGCAGCTGGCCGCAGTCGGCCACCCGCGGGGCGCCCGCAGGCGGCCCGCCAGCCAAGCGGGCGCGGGCCGACGCCGCCGCGCTGAGCTTGCCTCGCGCTCCGCGGGCCGCCGAGGGCGGCGACCGCTGAGCGGGGGGCGCGGGCGCCGCGGGCGGGGCGCGTCGGCACGACTGGCGCGTTCCCTACTGCCCTCACCCTCACCCCCACCCTCCTCCTCCTCCTCCTCCTCCTCCTCCTCCTCCTCCTCCTCCTCCTCCTCTTCCTCCCCCCCCTCCGCCTCCTCTCACTCCAAGGGCCTGCGGGGCAGTCGTCGCCGCGGCGGCGTGGCGAAGTCTGAGGGCGCGATGCTCTGGCAACCCCTCCCCGCCCCCTCCCCCTCCCTTGCTTCCCTCGCCCCCTTCTGGCCCAGGGGAGGGGGGCGACCGGGCGGGCGACGACGCCCAGCGCTACCGGGCTCAAGCTCGACGTGCCCATACTCTTTCGGCTCCTGGCCCGCGCGCCCCGCCGGGCGCATGGCCCCGCGCCTGCGTAGGTGCGCGCCGGTGCGCTCCCCGCCGCGGGTCCTTCGCGGCAGGCTCAAGACCCAGGGCCGCCGGGAGCAGGCCCGTCAGGCGCCCGCGCCCCGCGCCGCCGCCGCTGCGGCAGCGCTCCAGGCCCCGTCGGGCCCCGCTCTGGCAACCGCGCGGGTTGTGTTGCCGGTCGCCCAGGGGCCTTCCGAGGCCCCAGGCTGCGCCGGGGGGGGTCCCGCTGGGCAGTCTTGCGCCGCTGTGCCCGGGGGCAGCGGCGGCGCGCTCGGCTGCCCGCGCGCTGCTGCAACTCCCCGCGGGGTCCAGGCCACTGCTTGTGGTGCTCCGCGTGTGCTTGGCCCCGCTGAGGCCTGGTCGTCGCATTGGGGCGTGGTGGGCAGCTTGCGCGGTGCTGCCACCAGACAGAACGTCGACATGATGACGGCGCTGAGCCGGGACAGGCGGTGCTCTTTCAGGCGCCCAGATGGCGCCCCGCCCCGCGTGGTGCTGCAGGCCATGAGCGAAGCTCGTGCTCAAGGTGCGGACCTGCTCCGGCTGGCCGACACAGTTGCTGAGAGCCGGTTTCTGTGCAAAACGGTACCGTCTACACTAGTTACATACGCGTCGCATCTGCGTATGGTTGCATGGGCTTCCGAGCTCTTGGGTGAGCCCCCGCTGGGGTGCAGTGTGCAGCACATTCGCCGCGTCGCGGCGGTGTGCGCGTGCGCGTCAACGCAGCGCGGTTGGTTGAGCGCGTGGGCCCTGGCGCACCAGGTGGCCGGCGTGCCGTGGCAGGGTGGCCAAGATGTCATTTTGAAAGGCATCAGGCTCGGCACCGCGAAGTGCCGGACGCCCAGACTGCCGAGGCAGAAGGTTGATCGCCGGCTTTTGCGGCGTTTGCTCCGCCATGCGTTGGCGCACCAGCGACATTGGTGGTGCATCATCGCCGTCTGGGCATGCAACTTTCTGTTGCGGATGCCCTCTGAGTTGTTCGCGCAGTGCAAGCGTGATCTTGTGCAGGTCGCTGGGGGGGCGTTTTATCTATGGCCCCATCCGGCGACAGCAGCGGGTGGATCTGTGCACCCTTCATGCTATTTGCTTGTGCGGCACGGACGAGGGCATTTGTTTGCACACTTGGCTTCCTGTGTGGGACCATGCGATCGCAGCTGAGGGCCCTCCGTTTGGCGGGTATACGCCTGCGACGTGGACGGCCGAATTCCGGCGCCAGTTGCAAGCCGTCGGGGTCGCCAACCCCGAGGTGTGGTTTGGGCGCGATGTCCGGCGCGGAGCTGCGAGCGACGTCTTTGCGCCCTCCGGAGTCGAAGCCATGCTTTCCCGTGGTGGCTGGCGCTCTGTCACGTCCGCGCGACCGTGCGTGTCGGGCGACGAAGTTGCAGCTGGCCTGCTCGCGCAAGGGGTCATCGATGCTTCGGGCCCCGAGAATTGAGCGCGGCCGCGTGGGCGCGCTTGCCCGCTGCACCGTGGCCACCCTCCGTTTTCCGTTCCATTGGCATTGGGGCCGGGGTGTGACCTCGTGTGCGCGACTTGGCCAATGAAGAAAAGAACGCGGAGGAGGAGGAATAGGATCAGAAGCTAACGCGGATTCACAAATGTGAAGCGTAGTTAGTCTCTCTGCACCCTCCCTCCGCACTTGCTTGCATCCGTCTCACTTCCCCCTCTGCTCCCCTTGTCTTCTCCGCAGCCTTTTGGGTCACAGGGGGGGCCGCTTGTCCCGCCCTCCCGCCTTCTTTTTCCCTCTGGCGCCGCTGCGCCTGGGGGCTGGGGCGTGACCTCGTGCGCGCGACTTGGCCAATGAAGAAAAGAACGCGTAGGGGGAGGAATAGGAGCAGAAGCTAACAAGCTGTTACAAGGTGTTGTAGACATCGCATCCTGGAAGGTGCTGCGCTGCGCTAAGGCGAGAACCAAATAACCCGCCCTTTATCCGTGAAGCTCTTAAACAACATTAAGACGAGTGTGCGTGGCGCTAAGGGGGGAACCACATTTTGAAAACGACCCGCCCTCCATCCGTGATAAAGCTCGCTAACTTTCAACAGGAATGTGTGCTGCGCTAAGGCGATATCAACATTTTGAAAGCGGCCCGCCCTCCATTTGTGAAACTGTTGCAAATGTTTCAAGCTTCAGGGTCATACATAGCGAGGAATTCTCGGAAGTCTCAGGCGAGATGCCCGGCCCCCTATACCGACACGTCTGGGGGTGCGACAGGGAGGAGTTTTGGATGGAGCAGGCGGAGGAGAAGGAGGGAGGCCTTCGAGATTTCTTTGTGCCTTTTTGCGATCTGCAGAACACTGCATCGTCGGGAGAAATTTCGACTGGAGCTATCGGCCCCATCTTTCTCGAGGACCGGAGAGTGCTGCATTTCTCGAGCTGGATCGATCTGCGAGAACTCCATTGGCCCGAGACCAGGCGGAAACGCCTATTGAAAAATGCAGCGATGGAGTTCCAGGAAAGGCCAGAACTCCCCCCAGGTGCAGACGTCCGTGGTCGCGTTTTTTCTAGCAGCGTGGGTCCCGGGAGGTCTGGAGCATCTACCCGGGACAGGCGTTTCATCCTGAATTATTTTTGTGACCGTCCCAGGGTCTGGCGAGGGCCCCGAGATCGAGGCTGAATACGTCCAAAACATTCCGGTCCGCCTCCAGTTCCATCGTCGACGATGCTCGTTCGATGCTGCACCGAAGGTAAGTTGGCCTGAATCACCCTTGTGGTCGAAACGCGTAGCCTCTTTATCTTTTTGCTTGCCACTCGATCCAAAACAAGTGAACGACGCGAGAAAACGAGTTTGTCTTCGCCGGCATTCGCGCGTAAGCTGCCCGCGTAAGGTCGCGCGTGATCGCCTCCGTCTCCAGTGTGGCGTGCAGCGCTGGCGGCCCGCGGAAGCTGCGGCGCCAGGCCGCTATGGCATCTGGCGTGAGAGCCCTTTGTTTTCGTCGCCCAAGTGCTTGGCATCGCTCGGACGTGTGCATTTTGTCTCGGCGAAGACCCTCCAGGAGCCTGTCCTGTCTGGGCCACCTTGCGAGAAAGTGCAAGCGCACGAAGCCGCAGTAATGCACGGGGAATGGACGTCCGAGCGATAGCACGATGGTTGTGGTCGCCCCAGTTCAGGGGAGGAGAAACCACCCAGACCCGATAATTGGCGTTTATAAGACGGCCTTGGGCGTTTACCAAACAGCCTTGCCCTGTTCGATTCCTTCTGTGGGTGCGTTTACGAAACGGCTTCGCGTGTCGGGGTGATCACAGTGGAGGCCCATGCCAAGAAACACCCTACTTGCTTCCAGGGTGCTCTGGGTTTCTTGGGTTTCCATGGTTTTGCGATGGAATGCGTGACGCTCCCACACCACAAATCAATGTACGCCCTGGGGTCTTAGGGTGTTTTTTGTTGTGGAAGGCTTCTTGTGGACTGGCCTCCACTGCCATTATGGGGTGGATTATCTGCCCTCTGCCAGTGCCGTCGGGGGATTTCTTCCCGGCGCGGCGCCTTGGGCCTCGCCTCGGGCGTTCGGCAATGGGGGGGGACACATGGGGGGGGGTGCGCCTGGGGTTGCACGAACGGGGCTCCAAAGGGGCCCTCAACGAGCCCCCCAGGCGCCCCCCATTCGTGAACGCCCGATCGCCCCCCCCCGCCCCGCCGCCGCGGCAGGTTCGGCGGGCCCGCAGGGCGGCCGGGTCCGTCGGCGGCGGCGGCCCGGGCCTGCTCAGAGGGCTGGGGCCTGCTCAGAAGGGGGAGGAGGGAGGAGGGAGGAGGGAGGAGGGAGGAGGGAGGAGGGAGGAGGGAGGAGGGAGGAGGGAGGAGGGAGGAGGGAGGAGCCCGAGGGCCTCTCTGAGAATCGGGCAGCGGCGAAACGTCCCGGCTTGCCTATAGGCCTAGTACAAAATCTTCTAAGAACCTCTTGTGGTCTGCACGAAATGTTCTTAGAGCATTTCTGGTTCAGACAGTGTTGTTTTAACACATCAGGCCAAATGTTCTAAGAGCATCGTGTTTGTTCTTAGAACATGTCTGGGCTCTAGAAACATGTCTTGGTAGGCATATAGGAATGCCGGGACGGTCGGTCCCTGCTTAATGAGAAGGCTCCTCAGAAGTAGCGCACGAGGGCCGCGCCGCTCGCGCCACCCCCTCGCGGGCACATCCCAGAGTTACTAGTTTGAAACATATCCCTACCCTATGTTTGACATCACCTCACCTCGATGCCGATCTTAGGGATTCCCTCAGTTTCTGAGGGCCTATCCCTAAGATTGTCCTCGCTTTCTGCTCGCCCATCTTAGGGATAGGGATACGTTCGAGGCTGGTTACAGAGGGTCCCGCGGGGATTCCTTGCACGGTCCGTCGCCCCCGGCCCGCGCCGCCACGGCAGGTTCGGCGGGCCCGCCGGGCGGCCCGGCCCCGTCGGCGGCGGCGGCCCTGGCCTGCAGGAGCGCAGCCGGGGGGGGCGTGGAGGGCGCCCGGCCTGGGAGGGTCAGTCAGGCAGTGGCGAGGCGTCCCGGCTTGCCTATCCCTCGAGGTCCTGGCGAGTCAATTCTAGACGTTTCTGGCTCAGGGCCTTTGCCTCAAGCCCTCTGGCTCAAGCTCAATGGGACTTCCCCTAGGAGTTTTCAGGCCGCGCGCTCCCCCCCCGGGCGGCCATAGCAGATTCCCTGGATTCCTCTTCTTCGGCTTCACGCAGCAGCTCGGCCCAGGTCGGGCTTAGCATGGATGGGAGACCGATCGACGACGGTCCTGACTTCCCTGGGGCGACGACGACTGTGACGCCAGTGGACGACGGCGTGGCCAACGGACTGGCAGACGCAAGGCATCCTCACCCTGGACCACAGGACACCACTCCGCCAGGGCAGCCGTCGCCCCTCGCCCCCTGGGACGTGAGCGCTTCTGTCGACGTTGCGTGCACACGAGAACCGATGGCCTTCAGCCAAACGGGAAGACGGGGAGACACGTTCAACCCCGCGTTACACACTGACATAGCGACCTTCAGTCGCTTCCTTGGGACTGACAGCGACAGACAGGACGCCCTCCCGCCTAGCTTATCCCCCTCCCTCACCCCTACCCTTCCCATGCCCATTGCTGGGCGCCCGATCTCCCTCTCTCCTGGCGGTGCAGGGCAGAGCTGGATCGCTCACGGCGATTCCAGGATCACGGGGGGCGAGGGCCCCACTCCAGAGCAGGTGAATCCCCCTGCGGACCCAGGTTCGCGCGGGTCTCGAGCGGACGATCGACGGAGACATGCCCCTGACGATCGACCCAGGGGCCTCAACGACGAAGACGGGGGGGCTAGGGTGGGGGCCCCAGAGGATGACCGCGGGTGTGACAGGAGGGGAGACTTGCGCACGCCTGCCCTTGGACCTGACTCGCATCACAGAGGCTTGCGCCTTTGCTCCGCCGAGCGCCCCCCCTTGACACTCCCATTCTGAGAGAGGCTGCTTTCAGCTGCGAAGGGGCCAACCCTGCCACTTCGGAGACCCATGCCCACGCTGCGCAGCCGACTTCCCCCGCGGACGTTGACAGAGGGCTCGATGGCTATCGCCGCACCCCCGCCGCCCCCCGCGGATGCAGCATAATGGACATAGAAGATGGGCCTTCAGCCCTTGGAGCGACCTGTGAGATAGCAGCTCACACGGAACGGGCCTTCAGCTCGAGGTTCCAAGGCACATCGGGCAACCTCAGAGGCGACGAGCCTTCAGCTCGAGGAACGGAGACGGCACCAACGGTCGTCGGGAGTGCCGCTGAGCAGGTGGCAATAAGCGGCGCCGCGAGGCGCCGCGCGCCCGCCGCCCTTCCTGGAGTTGACAGCGCTGTGCACGTTGAGAATGGGCCTTCAGCCCGAAGAGCTCCCAGTGAGACAGCAGAGAGCGATCCTGCAGCTCGGGGCGCCCCAAACGGACTGTTCGGCACCGACGGCGACGGTGCGACCAGTCAACTCCCTGGGCACTCCTGTAACCCCGAAGGCTATCGTCAGCCACCCGCCCCCCAGTCGGACAGTCGCGGATGTGACGAGACTTCAGCTCGAGACTCTCATGCGGAACGAGCCTTCAGCTCGAGGGTCCAAGGCGCATCGGTTGACCACAGAAGTGACGAGCCTTCAGCTCGAGATCCAGAGACAGTGCCAATGGACCTGGAGAATGGCGCTTTCGTGACCACGAACGGAGACGACGGCGGCGACGCGAGTCGCCGCGCGCCCGCCGCCCTTTCTGGAGTTGACAGCGCTGCGCACGTAGAGAATGGGCCTTCAGCCCGAGGAGCTCCCAGTGAGACAGCAGCTTCGAGCGATCCTGCAGCTTGTGGCGCTCCAGGCGGACTATTCGGCACCGACGGCGGCGCTACGACCAGTCGACTCCCTGGGCCCTCCTGTAATCCCGAAGACTTCCGTCAGGCACCCGCCCCCCATTCGGGCGGTCGCGGACATGACGAGCTTTCAGCTCGAGATTCCCACGCGGAACGAGCCTTCAGCTCGAGGGTCCAAGGCGCATCGGTTAACCAGAGAAGTGACGGGCCTTCAGCTCGAGATCCAGAGACAGTGCCAATGGACTTAGAGAGAGGCGCAGAGGCCGTGACCACGATCGGAGACGACGCCGACCCTCCTGGGACTGCCAGTGTTCCCGTGCTGGCCCCCCCCCAGCAGGGGGGCCCCCGCGGCAGCTGCGGGCGACCGACCAACCGCGCTGACCCCGACGTTGGCGGGGCCAGCCCAGCCATGGGACCACCCCTGGGAAGGCGCACCGAAGGCCGTGCGGCATGCGCAGACAGCAGTCCCAACAGGTCCAACGGCTTCCGCCTTGACTCCGCCGCCCCCCTCCCTGGAGACACGGGCGCGGACGCCAGAGCTTCGCCCAGCCTCCGTGCCGATAACCTCACAGAAGAGACTGGCCTTCAGCCAGGAGGAACAGAGCGAGAGACGGGTGGGCCTGGCAGCAGTGGCCGCAGAGAGGCACGCACTCCCGCTGGGACGACCGACCGTAGCCGACCTTCCCTGGGAACGACGACGGGGCTGTCCATAGGACGGCCGCACGCGCACAATGCCAGCCGTGTCTCTGCTGATCCAGCCGTCGGGACAGGTTCCCTGTTCGATTGGATCGATCGCATCGGACCTCTGATCGCTGCCTCGGGATGGCCTCGCGCCAACCTCACAGAAGAGACTGGCCTTCAGCCAGGAGGAAGAGAGCGAGAGATGAGTGGGCCTCCCCCCCCGGGTGGGGCTCTCGGAGGGCCTTCTTGGGCCGCTGACTGCCGCTCCCGGGGTGCGCCCCGGCCCGGAAGACGAGGCGAGCCCAGCCACGGCAGCAGGCCTAGGAGGCTTCGATGCTCGAAAGTCAAAGTTCAAGAGGAAGAGCGCACATATCCAAAGCAACGTCGATTACCACGAGCATGTCTGGCAACATGGGAAGTGGAGGGGAAGACGAGCATCCAGATCTTCTAGGGGGGAAGTAGGGGGAGTCTAGGCATGTGTGCCTGTTGATTTGTGTCTCCCTGGGCCGCTTTACAAAAGGCTTATATTCTCGACGTTCAAGATCTGCAGTCAGAACCTCTCCGCTGCGACGCCCTGGATCTGAGCGGGGACGCGCGGGTGCCAGTGGCGCGCGCGCGCCTGCGGGGAGAGCGCGCGGAGCGCGGAGCGCGCCTCAGCGCCGAGCTCGGCGGCGGCGGCGAAGGACGACGACGACGACGACGACGACGACGACGACGATGACGACGACGACGACGACGACGACGACGACGACGACGACGACGACGACGACGACGACGACGGCGGCGGCGGCGGCGGCGGCGGCGGCGGCGACGACGACGACGACGGCGACGACGACGACGACGACGACGACGGCCGGCGGCGGGCGCTCTCGCGCGGCGGCGGCCGCCTCCCCCGCAAGGAGCCCCCGTGGCTCGGCGCGCCGCGCCCCCGCCGCGCGGCGGCTGCCCCGCGCGCGCCGCGCCCGCGGGCCGCGCGGCTCCGCGGTGGTCCTCGGGGCCGCAGGAGCCTTCTCAGGGGCAACGATAGTCAAGCAGTGGCGGAACGTCCTGGCTCGCCTACAGGCCTACCAAAGAAGGTTCTAAGAACCTTTTGTGGTCTGCGCGAAGTGTTCTTGGAGCATTTCTGGCTGGGCCTGTTTTGTTTTTGCACATCGGGTTCATGGTCTAAGCACATTGTTTTTGTTATTCGAACATTTTTGGGGTTCTAGGAACATTTCGAGGTAGGACTAGAGGAATGCCGGGACGGTCGGTCCCTGCTCAAGATGGGGGGGGGATAGGCAAAGGGGGGGATGCATGGACCTCCAATCGCCCATTGATCGCCGATAGGGGATCGATAGCCCCAACCCGCCCAGGAAGGTGCGGATTCACTATCGGAGGCCTATCGCCGATCTACCGGCGATGTATCGCCGATTCCAGGTCGATGCATCCCCCCTATGCCAGTCCCCCCCTATCGTTGTCCCCCAAGTCTTGGCATCGTTCTATCGTTCTTTTCGGAGAAGAAAACGCCATATACAAAACTTGTGGCGCTCCGCGCGGATTTCTTGGGTCTGCGCTGGGGGCCCCTGGCAGTGCCTCCAGCGCCGCCCCCGGCGCGCTCTGGGCGCCAAGGAGGGGGGCCCAGCGCGGATCCAAGAAGTGCAGTGTTGTTTGTTGTTTTCCTTTCTCCTTGGCATCGCTCGGACGTGTGTATTCTGTCCTCGGCGAGGACCATCGAGGAGCATCCTAGATCATCAAGCAGCACACACATGCGCACGAAGCCGAACAATCCACGGGGAATGAACGTCCGAGCGATAGCAAGCGCTCGGACGTGTGCATTCTGGCCTCGGCGAGGACCATTGAGGAGCATTCTGGATCATCTAGCAACACACGAACACGCACGAAACCGAACACTCCACAAGGAATGGACGTCCGAGCGACGGCAAGCGCTCGGACGTGTGCATTGTTCGTCGGCGAGGGCGCAGCTGCATTGCCGATTTGTTGACCAGGCCACAGTTCATAGCATGGGCTTGCCTGTTGCAGGTCGGCTTGTGCGGTGTTCTTGGTTTGCTAGCGACGTTTCGAAACGCGATGTGATAGGGTTACCAATGATGTTTTCAGACGGAAGGAAAAGAAACAACAATTCGTCGGCGAGGACCATCGAAGAGCATTTTGGCTCATCTTGCGAACAATCCAACGAAATCAAACGATGCACGGGGACTGGACGTACGAGCGATGGCGAGGTGTTGGGGCCTCCCCAAGGAGCGACGCAGCAAACACGGGTTCGACTGCGCCGACATTCGCGCGTAAGTTGCTCGCGTAAGGTCTCGCGTAAGCGCCCTCGTCTCCATTGTGACTTGCCGCGCTGGTAGCCCGCGTAGGCCACCGCGTAAGGTCGCTATTGTCATCTCGCGTCAGACCCGGGTTGGATCGTCGCTCAGATGGCTAGGGGAGCATGCACAGGAGCTGCATCACAGCCTGGTCCCCCAGAAATCTGGACCTTCTTCTTGGGACCGGCTTCCGTGCAGGGCAGGTCGGACAGTCCCAAGGCAGAGGTCTCCCAGAGGGGTTCCGAGCAGGTGTGCCGAAAGGGCAGAGGCGGGTACAGGAGAGGGGAGGAGCGGGTGGAGGAGGTGGGAGGCGCGGGGCGGAGCACATCCCAAACCAGGACCCAACAACGCAGGATTGTTAGGAAAAGCAGCACATCGGATCTCCGGGTCAGCCCGGTGTGTGCGTATTTGCGTGCCCTGTTTGGCTGGCAGCCCGCGAAAGTGGCCACAGCATCAGTGTACAGCTGCACACATCCTGTACCGTATGCGTCTACTGCGTTGAAAGGCCTCAGCGGGCCAGCGCACGTTCTGAGGATCATCGACGGTCGCGTGTCCAGGACCCTCTGGATTTTCTGCTTGCCCGATGTTGTTTGGCTAGGGCCGTCTTTTGCAGGATCGGGGCCCGAGGATCGAGGGCTTTTGCGCGCATGGGCCCCTTTTTCTCACCAGTCTGGAACAGATCCCTACCCCTGAGACTGGCATCACCATATCTTGGTGGCGATAGTGGAGATTTCTTCACTTTCTGAGCTCCGCACCTGGAAGGTCGTCACCGCCCTGGGTTTGTCAATCCTCGAGGCAGGGATCGGCTCGAGGCTGGCTCTTTTCTGGCCTCGGAGGGCCTCTCGGGGGGCCTCGTCCATGACCTCTGGGCTGCCTCGGGCCTCGACTGGAATTTGGAGTCAAAGATCCTGGCGCATCTCTTTAGCCATCCTGAAAAAGCTCAGGGTAGAAGTTCCCAGGGGCCTCCAGAGAAGGCCGCGCGAGCGCGCGGAGAGGATCGCGCTCCGCATTCCGCTCGGCGCGATGCGCGACATCGGGAGATCTGGGCCTTGGGGCCTCGAGGAAGGTTCCTGCCTCTCGGAGGTTGATAGACCTCCTACCCTGACACGTCGATTAGCGAATCGGCCGTTTTCGGTTCGCGAGAGGGCGTCGCGCCTGTCATTTTCGCGGGTCCAGGTCCGTCGGTTTCGGTCCAAGGCTGTTTTCACTAAAGTGTGGTTTATTAAAGGGAGGTTTGTCCACCGCCGAGCCTCGTTTCCCGACCTGTACTTAGGAGCCAACTGGGGGGCTGAGGTGGCCCAGCACTGGTTCGGGCCAGCAGGACGGGGGTTAAACGTGCCCCCCTCGTCGCCACTTGCTGGCTGCGGCTCGAAAGGCTTGTCGGTTTCGACCTCGGTTGGGTCTGGGGACCGATTTCGAGAGAACTCGCCCTCGCCCACCCCCCCTCTTGACCGATTCTCTCCGGGCTCAGCCAGCTCAGACCCCCCCGGCCGCCTCCGATCCTGGGGGCCGTCGCAGAGCTGTCTGCCTCCGTGTCGTGCCCAGCTGCGCTGTCGCGCGCATCCGCCTCCTTCGCAGCGGGACGGAACGCCTCGTCTCGGTATCGTTTATCCGACCCCCATCCCCATCTCCATCCCCTTCGAGACCCCCACCAAATTACCACCCCGGTTGGGGATACACCCCTCGAAACCCGAAGAGAACGACCGATATCTCCATCCAGGGGGGTAAATCGGCCAGCGGAGCCCAGGCCTCGCCGCTGGGGATGGGGACCAGTTAAACGATACTCATCATCCGTTGTTTTTTGGCTTCTTCTCTCTGTCGGAGGGCCGAACACCCGGGGACCCTTAGCGGCGAAACTTCGCACGGTGTTGCGGTGCGCAACGGGGGGCCCCAGGGAGCCAACTAGCGCCCAAATGAACATGCTCGGCCATCACAACACACAACATACAGGTACACACAAGACAACCCAAACCACACACCACACACCACACACCACACAGCACACACCACACACCACACAACACACAGCACACAACACACAGCACACATACAACGCACAACACAAACATAACACACAATACACAAACAGCACAACACAACACAGCACAGCACAGCACAACACAGAACAAGCCACGGCAAGACAAGTCAAGACAAGACAAGACACGACCAGACAACGTAACGCAACGTAGCGCAACACAACACAACACAACACACACACAAAGCACACACACACACACCGGAGGGGCAGAAGGTGGAGGAGGAGGAGGAGGAGGAGGAGGAGGAGGAGTTGGGAGGAGGAGGAGGAGGAGGAGTTGGGAGGAGGAGGAGGAGGAGCAGGAGGAGCAGGAGGAGGAGAAGGAGGAGGAGGAGGAGGAGGAGCAGGAGGAGGGCTGCGAGGAGCTAGGAGGAGTCGTAGGAGCCAGCGGGAGGCACGCAGGAGGGGGCAGGCGTCAGAGGGGCGGCTACCGGGCGGAGCGGGAGTAGCAGCAGGGCCGCGCCCGCGCGCGCGCATGGAGCCCTCCCTCCCCCGGCGCAGGCACCGCTTTCTTTGCCGCGATCATCCTCAGCTTTATTCCAGGCCCGTGGCAGGCTGCCTCCGGGGGGTTGGGAGCCCAGAGGGGTAGAGTGGTCACAGGAGGAACACTGGTGCCGATGCCGCTGCCCTTGCTTCGCTTGAACTTTTTCTGGGCCTCCTGGGAGGCCCTCGTCGCCAGGGCCGGGTGCGGCTCAAAATTCGGGTCGGAGTGCACCCTAGGAGAGGCCCGGGGAGTAACTTGATCGGTACCCTACCCTTTTGCTTCCCCAGAAGATTGACATGTTTGACTCGCTGCACCGTTTTTCTCTCTTTGCCATGCGCCAGGGCGCCCTGTGGCACGAAGGAGAGGGAGGGGGATGGGAGGGGTTATGGGGAGCATCCTGGAGGCCTCGCGCGGCGCCAAAGAAGTCCGCGCGTCCGCCCCGTCGGATCTGGGACGACGCTCGCGCGGCGCTGCCCCGACGCGAGTCCGCTGCAAGTCCGACGTGAATCCGACGTACGTCCGACGTCAACCCGACGCGCAGCCGACGCGGCTCCGACGTGGACTCGATCGGGTGGCCGCGCGGGGCCTCCCTGCCGTGCTTCTCCAGAGCGGGGCGGGGGAGGCGCGGCCGTGGCCCTCTCTGCAAAGCACGCGCACGTTGGCGTGGCACCGCTCGGGCGTGTGCGTTCCGTCTCGGCGAGGGCCATCGGGTAGCTCTGTGGGCCTGTTGTCCACCACCACCTCCATAAGTTGGAAGGGGGAGGGGGTCCTTCTCCTCCTCTTCCTCCTCCTCCTCCTCCTCCTCTTCGTCCTCCCCCTCCTCCTCCTCCTCGTCGTCCTCCTCCTCCTCCTCCTCCTCCTCCTCCACTTTCCTCCATCCAACTTATGGTGGTGGTGGTGGTGGTGGTGGTGGTGGTGGTGGTGGTGGTGGTGGTGGAAAACAGGCCCATCAAGGAGCCTCGTGGGCCATCCTGCGACAAGAACATGCGCACGAAACCGAAAGCATGCGCGGGAGTGGACGTCCGAGCGATGGCGAGCGAACGGACGGCGCACACGACCGTGCTCTCACGCCTGTGCCTCCCCGCCGACCGCCCACTCCTCGACGGCCCTGCGGCACGAGGCGGAGGAGAGGGAAGGGGAGAGGGGAGGGAAGGGAAGGGGGAGAGGACAGGGAAGGGGAGATGGGAGGGAAGGGGAGAGGGACGGGGAGGAAGAGAAGGGAAGGGGAGAGGAGAGGAGAGGGGAGGGAAGGGGAGAGGAGAGGGGAGGGAAGGGATGGGAATGGCCAGAGGGAAGGGGGATGGAGGGAAGGGGAGAGGGAAGGGAGGAAAGGAGAGGGAAGGGGAGAGGGAATGGGGGAGGGGAGGGAAGGGAGGGCGGGGGTGGGGAGGCAGGCGGAGGGGGGGGCAAGCGCGCGCGCCCCGGCGAATCCGCGGATGACTCGATCCGGCGCCCCCGGGCGGCTCGCTGGCGCGTCTTGGGCGCCTCTTGGGGCCTCTTGCACGAGACCGTGGCCTCGGGGGCGCGAGTGCAGCGCGATTTGCGAGGGATCGTGGCTTCGGGAGCGCGGATGGGGTGTAATTTGCACGGGGTCGTGGCCTCGGGGGCGCGAATGTGATGTAATTTTCAAGAGATCGTGGCCTCGGGGGCGCGAATGGGGGGTAAGTTGCTAGGGACCGCAGCCTCGGGGGCGCGACTGCGTCGTGATTTGCAAGGGATCGTGGCCCCAGAGGCGAGAATGTGGCGTACACGGGGGATCGTGGCCTCAGGAGCGTGCAGATGGCAGATTTTACGAGGGATCGTGGCTTCGGGGGCGCGAATACAGTGTAATTTATTATGGGTGTTGGCCTCGGGAGCACGAACGCAGCGTAATTTGCGCGGGATTAGAGTAGAGCGTCGGGAGCGCGAATCTCATGTATTTGTTGTGTCCACGGCGCCCCAGAAATTCAGACGATGCGATTCGGGGACGCTAACCAAGGCTCCTTTCGGCTCCCCCCACCCCTCGCGCGGACATCAACAATTTACAGTTAGAAACAGAACACAATATTGTGACATTGGAAACTGGAAATTGGAATTGGTTCAGGGAGCACCAAGCTTAATCCTCGCAGCCTGACGGCCCTGCAAGGGGGCTGGCGGATTTTCGGGCCCCCTTTCCAGCGGTACAGCACTCACGGCAACCGGCAAAAGGATTGGGCACGCCCTTTTGGCGTAATCGTCCCTCGAATGTATAGTTTTTTTCTCACATATGCCCTTGAGACACTCTAAGAGTACCCCTCGGCAACAAAGACGCGTCAGGGGGGGCGTTTCTCTTCCGACCCTCGTCGCCGCCGTTGTGGCGCAGGAGCAGTCGATATTCAGCAGCAGGGTAACGGTTTCGAGATCTGTGGAGGAGTTTCGGCGGGCCTCGCCGGCTGCACTCGAACGGGCCCCATGGCCGAGCCTTTCCGCCTCTGCTCTGGCCCCCGAGGGTCCTGTGGGCCCCGTCCGTCCTGTGACGGACCACAGGCCGCTGTGCGTGTGGTGGGAGCGGGGTAGGTTTCGGAATCGATGCACGCGTCGGAATCGATGCACGCGTGTGTGGATGCATTCGCGTTTCGCACGCTCGCCCGGGCGATGATTGTCACGGGCAGCCCTGTGTTGATGCGTCTTGATCACGGGGGGGCAGAATCTGTCCGCCCCTGCTGCCGCCAGCAGCGCGCTGTTGCACTGGAGCTTGGGTTACGGGCCTGTGGCGGGCGTGGCGGGGATTTCTGGTTTCGCATTAGAAGGGTTCTGGCGAGCCGTGGCGGAGGCGAGGTTGCCGTCGATTGGACCCCCTCACGTCCCGGGAGTGTTCTGGCAACGCTGGGCCGACACTGCCGCGGGTGAAGCAGCCGAACGCAGCCGGGAGCTTAGCCTCACCGCGGATGCGTCCTCGACCGACAATTGGGGTACGTCAGGAGGGGGGAAAATCACACAGACACAAGTAATCGTCGATGCCCAGACAACATGGGAAAATATGGGAAGTGGGGGGGAAGACAAACACCCAGAAAATATAGGAAACTATCGGGAATCCTGTTATTTGTGTATGTGTGTGTGTCCCATGGCCCCTTCAGTATTGTCGCGTCCCTGGTCCGGAGGATGGCCCGGAGAGAGCTCTGGCAGAGACTCTGCGGCGGCTGATCCCAGGAACAGCCCCAAGGGCTCCCCAGAAGTCCCCGAGGGAGCTCGACGGGGGGCCGAGTTTTGTTTTTTGGGCAGAGGGCAAAGTGATGGGCCTGTGGCCTGTTTTCCACCACCACCACCATAAATTGGAGGGGGAGGGGGTCCTCCTTCTCCTCCTCCACCTCCTCCTCGTCCTCCTCCTCCTCGTCCTCCGCCTCCTCGTCCTCCACCTCCTTCCCTCCTCCAACTTATGGTGGTGGTGGAAAACAGGCCCATCACAAAGGGTGAAATCTGAAGTGCTGTTTCGATGGATTTTCGAGGCTTGAATCATCAAAAGGTGAACCACAAGACGGATTGATTACCCTAAGAAAATGCTCAGGGGGGACCACGAGGGATCGTGCCGCCCGTGCCAGTGCTCACCATGCCACCAAGTGTGGTGAACTTCTCAGGCGTTCCAGGTGCGGGAATTTTTCTACCCGGGGTGGTCATCTGAAGTTTTGTGCTTCGGAGTGTGGTCGTGAAGGGGCCCAGAAGTGGCCTCAAGGTGTTGTCTTTTCGGCTCCAGGAGCCGCGGTTGTCTACGGTGTGGACCTCGGCGAGTCCCTCCGCCTCGGCTTCTTGGCCCGTTTTGGCACAGCCACCGTGGACGGGCGGCAGCATTTCAGCTTGGCTGGACCTATCCTTCGACTCTGACTCGCGTTCTTGACTGTAAACTCCCCCTCAACCATCCCTCTCCCGCCACTGCTGTGGTTTCTCTTCGGCACGCCTGAGGCACCAACACCTGCAGGGCCGGCCGAGATCGACAGCCAAACGCTCTGCGAAGGTGTGGGCTAATGCCTCTGGTCAGCACGGTGTGGGTGCCGGGAGATACGTGGCGCCTCAGACTCAGGGAGCGGGCCCTCGCCCATCCCTCTCCCATCCTCCCCCTCCCTCCCCCCCGCAGATCATCCTGAGTCCGATTATCAGCATCATAAACTTGTTCTACATGTTCAAGGCGCCCAGGGCGGCGCCGCCCTCCACCGTCGCGCGGGGACCCCCCCCGCTCGCTCGAGGGAGGCCTCGGGAAGTCCCCTTGGGGCCTCTTTGGAGAGGGCCCCCAGGAGGCCCCCTGGAGGCTGCGCAGATCAGCGGAGGAAAAGATGCCGATGCCGCTGGTCCTCCCGGAGAGCCCTCGTCGCACCGGCTGGACTCGCCTCGAGATGCTGGTCGGGAGGCGCCCCGGAAAAGGTCTGGCGCCCTCAAGAAGGGTGCCTCCGGATGCTCTCCGGCGGCGACACGTGGCTCTCGTGGCGCCGACAGCGGGGGGCGGAGGGGGTGGGTGGAGCACATGGCTCCGGGGGAGGGCATGCGGGCCCCCAGCCCGCCGCTGCTCGCGAACGCGGGCCCTGGGCCCGGAGGGATCGCGCGCTCGCCGCCGACAGCGGGGGCGGAGGGGGGTGGAGCACGTGGCTCCAGGGGAAGGCATGTGTGATGAATTTGTGTTCCACCACCACCACCACGAGTTGGAGGGGGGAAGGAGGAGGAAGGCGACCAGGAGGAGGAGGAGGAGGAGGAGGAGGAGGAGGAGGAGGAGGAGGAGGAGGAGGGCGAGGAGGAGGAGGAGGAGGAGGAGGAGGAGGAGGACCCCCTCCCCCTCCAACTTCTGGTGGTGGTGGTGTGGTGGCGGGAAACACGCCCATCGACGTGGGTCCCCAGCCCGCCACCCCTCGCGAATGCGGGCCCTGGGCCCGGGAGGATCGTGCGCTCTCCGCCGACAGCGGGGGCCCGTCGCCGACCTCTCCGCGGTGCGGCGCTGCTAGTCCAGGCCAGTTACTCCCCCGCAGGGAGGAGGAGGAGGAGGAGGAGGAGGAGGAGGAGAAGGAGGAGGAGGAGGAGGAGGAGGAGGAGGAGGAGGAGGAGGGCGAGGAGGAGGAGGAGGAGGAGGGCGAGGAGGAGGAGGAGGAGGAGAGGAGGAGGAGGAGGAGGAGGAGGAGGAGGAGGAGGATGGGGAGGAGGAGGAGGAGGAGGAGGAGGAGGAGGTCCCGCCCTTGGGGACCCCCGTCGACGGCTCAAGAGCGGCAGGAGGCCTCGACCCGGCAATTCCTGGGCGCTTCGTGGCAGGGCCGAGTCTTGCTTGAGGCTTGGTCCTCCTCGGCGCTCGGCATCGCTCGGACGTGTGCTTTGTCCGTCGGCGAGGACCGTCGAAGAGCATACTTGGTGCCCCTTCGCGAAGGCATCAGCGCACGAGGAAAAGGAATGGACGTCCGAGCGATGGCGAGAGCAGGGCGAGTGGAGACAGCGGCCGCTCGAAGTCGGTGCCTGGACCCCGCCCGGGGTTCCAAGCGCATCCGGTTTCCGAGCTGCCGCCGGCCGTGGCGACGAGTGGCCCAGCCGAAGGCCAGCTACCGTTGTCCCTGCTCTTAAGGCGGGCGTGTCTCTCCCTCTACAGGAAGGGTGTTCGAAAGTAGTTGAACAAATCGCCTGGGGACGTTTTTGTTTTCCGACTATTTCTGCTTATGTGTGATCATCTGTTGGACTATGTAGTATTAAGTTTCTCCCAACATCCGCCTGTAGGGGGACGTGTCCGACCCAACTCTACTCGCCCTCCTCTGAGCCTACTATTGACACCCGCTGCGCAGTTTCCTTGAGCCACGGCCCGGAGGTGCCGAGTGCACCCAACATCTCGGCAGCAGTTGTCAGGTGACGCACTGCCTCGTGGCGGCGATGTCCCAGAATGCCATGCTGAAGTACAACGTGCTGAGCGCCTCGTGCCAGAGGCGGCCCCGTCGAGCCCTCAGAGGGCCGTTCTGCAGGACAAGTCTGGCGTCCCTCCGCCCGCCTATGCGGCAGCGCCCGAGACTCAAAGGCACCCGAGAGAGCCCCGATCCCCCCGCCGCCGCCGCGGCCGCTCCCGACGTCGGAAGCCGTTCGATCGAGTGGATGTCAGATACCACGTCGGCGCACCCCAAGTCGGAGGTTCGGCGGCGAGCGAGGGGGGGAAGTGAGAAGGAAAAGGCCTTCTTGGAAGGCGGCGGGACTTCGCAGAAACCCTCGCGCCTTTGCGAGGTTTTCAGTGTCTTCGGGGAAGGCTCAAAGAACTTCTCAGAGGGCCTGGGAACTGCCGAGCTTTCTGAGAAGGCCTTCTCCTTCTCGCTTCCCCTCCGGGCTCGCCACCGACAGATACCAGGTCGGCACACCCCAAGTCTGAGTTGGCTTCAGATTTGCCGACACGCGGAGTCATTGAATCTTTGTGCCTTGGTGAGCGCCATGATTGCGGGGAACCTTACACCCATTTTGGCGCTTCGTGAGATTTGGTTGTTGAAGCTTTACGTCTCGCAGCAGCGAGAAATATTGCACGGCGCTCACCGCCGAATCTCCGCAGCCGAGGTGCCCGGCCCATTTTGGCACACCTCGGGGGTGCACTTCGATCCGATCCGACTCCGAGCTCGCCGAGCTCGATCCGATCCCAACCGACGATACATGTTTTTCCATCAGGGCGTTTTCCCTATATTTACCTAACAGCGAAGACTGATAGGTTTCTAGTTGACTCAAAAGAGCTCACAGATCACTCCACAGGGGGGTCCGGGCAGGTGTTGGGAGTTGCCGGGCGGCAGGTGCCGGGCTCGTTTTTCGCCAACAGTCACACACTTCGTGCTCTTCGATTTCCCAGAACTCCATTCCCAGGCCACATTCTGGAGGGCCGAATGCAACAGTCACACACTTCGTGCTCTTCGAGTTCCCAGAACTCCATTCCCGGGCCACATTCTGGATGCCCGGAGCCAACTGTAGGCCACTTCGTGCTCTTCGAGTTCCCAGAACTCCATTCCCGGGCCACATTTTGAATGCCCGGAGCCAACTGTAGGCCACTTCGTGCTCTTCGAGTTCCCAGAACTCCATTCCCGGGCCACATTTTGAATGCCCGGAGCCAACTGTAGGCCACTTCGTGCTCTTCGAGTTCCCAGAACTCCATTCCCGGGCCACATTTTGAATGCCCGGAGCCAACTGTAGGCCACTTCGTGCTCTTCGAGTTCCCAGAACTCCATTCCCGGGCCACATTTTGAATGCCCGTAGCCAACTGAGGCTGAGGCAGGCTGCTGCTGAGGCAGGCTGAGGCTGAGGCTGAGGCAGGCTGAGGCTGAGGCAGGCTGAGGCTGAGGCTGAGGTTGAGGCTGAGGCTGAGGCTGAAGCAGGCTGAGGCACACGCTGAGGCAAGCTGATGCTGAGGCAGGCTGAGGCTGAGGCTGAGGCTGATGCAGGCTGAGGCTGAGGCTGAGGAAAAGGTTGAGGCTGAGGCTAAGGTTGAGGCTGAAGCTGAAGCAGGCTGAGGCTGAGGCTGAGGCAGGCTGAGGCTGAGGCTTAGGCAAGCTGATACTGAGGCAGACTGAGGCTGAGGCTGAGGCAGGCTGAGGCTGAGGCAGGCTGAGGCTGAGGCAGGCTGAGGCAGGCTGACGCTGAGGCTGAGGCTGAGGCTGAGGCTGAGGATGAGGCAGGCTGAGGCAGACGCTGAGGCAGGGTGAGGCTGAGGCTGAGGCAGGCAGTGGCTGAGGCTGAAGCTGAGGCAGGCTGAGGCTGAGGCTGATGCAGGCTGAGGCTGAGGCAGGCTGAGGCTGAGGCTGTGGCTGTGGCTGAGGCTGAGGCTGAGGCAGACGCTGAGGCAGGCTGAGGCTGAGGCAGGCTGAGGCTGAGGCTGAGGCTGATGCAGGCTGAGGCTGAGGCTGGCTGAGGCTGAGGCCGAGGCTGAAGGCAGACTGAGGCTGAGGCTGAAGCAGGCTGAGGCTGAGGCCGAGACAGGCTGATGCTGAGGCTGAGGCAGGCTGATGCTGAGGAAAAGGTTGAGGCTGAGGCTGAGGCAGGCTGAGGCTGAGGCTGAGGCAGGCTGAGGCTGAGGCTGAGGCAGGCTGATGCGGAGGCAGGCTGAGGCTGAGGCTGAGGCTGAGGCTGAGGCTGCAGGCTGAGGCTGAGGCAGGCTGAGGCTGAGGCCGAGGCTGAAGGCAGGCTGTGGCTGAGGCTGAGGCTGAAGCAGGCTGAGGCTGAGGCTGAGGCAGGCTGAGGCTGAGGCTGAGGCAGGCTGATACTGAGGCAGGCTGAGGCTGAGGCTGTGACTGTGACTGCCGTTGCCACTGCGACTGTCATCGCGAATGCGACTGCGACTGCGAGAACAGGAGAATTCTACAACTGGATTCTCATCTGGATCTTAAGGGGAATGCTTCCATATATGCTTCTACACATCGCTGTTAGGTTGCTTTGCCGGGATAATTTTTGTTGTTCGGCTTCCGCGGCCGCTGTCGGGCCCCAGGTCCGAGGCGGGAATTTCTACATGACCACCGCCTGGAGGATCAATTTTCGGGGACCTCGGCAGCCGGTGGATATATCTTCGGGCCCCCAGGGGCAAACATATGTCCGTATCCACCGCCCGTTGGGGCGCCAGGACGTCGGCTCCCAGGCGGTGGATATGGATAAATCCCCGCCTCGCACCAGGGGCCATCAAAAGTGGACCCTGGGCGGAGAACGGGCCCCAGGGACGGGGGCCGATACCTATGGGCCGCGCACTGAAAACACCATATCGGATTCTGTCAAGGCTTCCATATCGGTATCGATACTCCAGCGGTCCGGCGCGACCCGATTCCTGTTGGGCGCGGCTGTACATCCTGGCGCAGCCGATCCGATACGGGCTCGGCTCCGTGCCGGTGCGGTCCGACTCGATGTTCGTTCCGATCTCAGCTGGTTTCCTGACCCGACGAGGGCCGTTCTTGCTCTTGCCCCCCTGGCCTAGAGGGCCACTGCTCAGTTCTAGGACAGAGTGTGGGAGACGACCTGTGCAGGGGGGGCGCTGTTGTGAGCAGCCCGGGGCTGCCCTGCGCACTTGCCTTTGGCCATCGCGTGGCGCGGTGTCGATTCACTGCAAATTATGGGACGGGTGGGATATATGATGTTGCCAGGAGGGGATAAAACAGACAGACAAGATTCCTTAGACAATGATGGGGAAATATGGGAAGTGCGGTGAAGCCAAAAACT